GCACGGATGGCAAGCGCTTATTGTTTCAACCTCCAAGACCTGGGTTCGAGTCCCAGGTCTGAGTAATTTCCATATTATTTTTCCATTAGTAATTACATGCAGGCATAACGTTAAGACTCACCATGCACGTTCAAGGATCAATCAGCCACGCGTCCTGGAGGTTAATCAGAGGGCTCAAATTCAAGGCATATGGTAAACGTTGGTCAGCCTTGCTACATGCTACACAAAAAGTCAATGGACCAAAGTGTTGATGGGCCAGAATGCTAGGCCTATACCTCCAATGTTGGGACTACACCCCCACCCTGGTTTGCTAGTTTTATTTATTTTTCTTATTTATTCTCAATTATTATTTTATTTGTTTTGTTGTTTTAATTCAATAATTATTTTTTTACAAAATATGAAAAAACATCATAAAAATCAGAAAAGTCAAAAAATTTAATAATTATTTTATTTTAAATATTTTATTATAAATAATTGCATGTAAATATTTAGATTTTAATTAGGTTGCAACTTTAATCCTTTTTTAACAAAAATACAAAAAATGTAGAATTAGGTCAATTAACAATCTTGATTCCTTTTAATATTTTCCCCCTTTTTCACAATAATAATTATTTATTTATTTATTTTTTATTTATAATTAAATTTGTACATAAATAAATTAGGGTTTAAATTAGGTTAAATTTCAATATCTTTCATAATAAACTTAAAAAACATTAGAATTAGGGTTTGACATTTTATTTTCAATCAATTATTTTTTTCTTTTAAATCTTAAAAAACAAAAAATACCAAAAACATTTAATTTTTAATTTTAATTTCCTATTAAATTTAATTTTTTGCAAAAGGGTCCAACGCCCATTGTTTAATTATTTTATTTCGCATATTTATTTTATGTCGCTTATTATAATTATGTACATGTCCCAAAGCCTTGTAACAATTTTTACTTTTCGCACTTTTACTTTTTTGCTTTATTTACTTTCAGTCAAATCGGGTCCGGTTTAATTTTGGCGATGTGGACCCGCGCCATTTGTAATAGCCTTAGATTTATTTTTTCGCAAACTTTATAACTGTTAAAAAGCATGCAAGAATGAATGTCTTAAGTAAAATCAAGCGTAGATCACGACAAACATGACAAGACAAATAACTGGAACATGACACACAATTCGCACACACCACCCCTAGGGTACGCCTCACTGTTGCCTTTCGAAAGGTGATCGTCGAGTAGAGGACGTCTTAGTAAGTCCTCATGATCCGGGAACCTGACATGAGGGTAGCTTCTAAGGTGTCTTCCCATTGCTCTGGTGATCACCATGTCCCTACAAACTCGAATTGACCCGAACACCTCCAACGGTGGTGCTACCTACCTCTCAATGGTGGGATGGCACTACTTTAAAGGACATTTACACAGACGAATTCCTTAGGGTAGGTAGACGACTCATGGATACTTGCTCTCTTCAAAACAAACAAAATACTTTTCACACCAACACATTTTCAAAAGCTTTCAAAGCAAATTTTTCAAACACTCTGACGTACGAGTCGAACTGAAATTTTTTCAAAGAAACTTTGTTAACCCACATTGAAAAGCAAGCAAACATTTTTGAAAACACATTGAGCAAGTATCTAAGAGCCCATGGATAACCATGGATAGAAAGGGTGCTAACACCTTCCCTTTCTATAACCTACCTCCCGAACCGAGAGCAATCTCTATAAGGAATTTTTCTGTGCTTTTGTCCTTTCCAATTGGAGAAAATAAAAGACGGTGGCGACTCTTGCTTCCGCGACATTTCGCGAACCAGCGTTAAACAGTCAGTTCCAGATCCACCGATCACACAGGGTAAAAGATAGTGGGTCACGTCTCCCATTTAAAAGAGATAATGGGTAAGTTGATAGGCGTGTGTCTCGAGGAAAGCGTGAGACACGTTATCATAATGGCATGACGTTATAAGGAAGGGAAAATAGTAACGCCAACTAAGAAATGAAAATGAGTAAGTTTTGATTGAAGGTAGTCGGCATTTTAGAGATGCCATTACCTCATATTTGTCGAATTCAAAAATGGCATCTCTGGGGGGCTTTTTGTTACCTTAAAACATCTTTAAGGCATTTATTGTATTGTTAGTAGGGCAACCCTGTGAATTGGAGAGAAAGTTCCTTCCAGGAGTAGGGACTTTAAGAATATTAGAGTCAAGAAAATGATAGCTGGAAAGTTCTTATAAAGAATCAAAGAGAGATCGACGAACAAAAGAGCAAGTAGTCGATGGAGGAAATAACAAATCAGTCAACTTTAATTTTGTCGACAAAAATAGAATCCAAGACTTAGAGAATCTGAGTTATTTGTTCACGGTAAGGGTTGATGTCGAAGCAAAACTTATAGGCGAGATAGATTTTGAAATTTGAATATTACATCGATTGAAAGAAGTTTCCTGATCAAGGCGTCAACTACGTGGCTAAATCTTAGGAGGCAGTTTCTATTAAGCCACAGACATATCAACTTAGTATTACATTGAAGTGCATGTTCAGTTATTATGTAACTACTATAAATAAGAGGGTGTAATATAAGATTCAGTGTGTTCATTTTGTACTAAAATCACTTGTAAAACTCCATATTTCTAAGAGTAAGAAAACAAAAGTTCAAGAGTGTTAATGTACGTGAATCACCACTTTATTTCAATGCAAACTTCTTTCTTTTCACTTGTGTCCCTTGAATCTTTTACTTGCATCTTATTTACTTTTGAACAATCTTTTTATATTATCATTTACGTTATTGAATCTTGTTCCATTACGATACTGGAATCCACCTAGAATTCGCTCGACATTTTCTTCGTTTAGGACAAGTCCTAGTCTTCAGTCGGTCACGAGTCACCTTCAGTCGGTCAATTCATAGCATATTTGTGGAAAACTTTTACTTGTTCCCTTTGTTTAGAGAAAACAGTTTCTCACAAAGTAAGGCGCCGCGTCGATAGAACAAGCCCCATTTCATTATATTAGCACATGTCTTAGGATTAACTAGTTGATCCTGCGAGTAACCCTTAATTTTAGGCTTAGGGAGGACTAGCAGTTGTTTACCAATTTCCACAGTAAACACTTAGAGACGAACTTTAAAAACACATGATTTTCGCTTAAGTTGAACTAAGACAGAGTATATGAAATATAAGTTCAACAAAAAAGAAGTGTATCTAACATATAGGTGAAAGTTAAACAATATATCATCCCTTAAATTCCACGGTTTAAATGCCTTGGTTACTTAATACAAAATGATGGATAAATATAAAAGGATGTAAACCATCAAATTCAAGTTGGATAGCTGAAATGGAGAAGGACTTCAAGAGATTTCTGTGATGCAAATGTATCACTCATGTTGAAGGAAATTTTGTCATATTGCGTAAGATTTGCGATGTTGTAAAAGACCAAATATTGAACGGTTAATAATCAACACGAAAATAAAGTAAGTGCAACAGAGATAAGAATGTTGAGTTGGAAGTGTGGTAAGATTATATAAGATAAGATTAGAAATGAAAATATTAAAAAGAATAGACAAAATATCCTTTTTGGTCCCAGATGTTAACGTCAAGGTTCATTTTGGTCTCTTAATTAAAGTTCACATTGGTCCCTTACCTCTTCAAAACGCTTCATTTAAGTTCTTTTTGTCTAATTAGCGGCAGATTTAGCGACCGATTTCTGAATTTTTCCGTAGTTAATTAGATAAAAAGGACTAAAATGAAACATTTTGAAGAGTTAAGAGACATATGAATTTTTCCATAGCTAATTAGATAAAAAGGACTAAAATGAAACATTTTGAAGAGTTAGGAGACCAATATGAACGTTTTTAAAGTTAAGAGATTAAAATGAACCTTGACGTTAACATACAGGATCAAAAATAATATTTTATCAAAAAAATATTAGAGTAACACCTATAATAGAGAAGATGGTAAAAAATAAACTTAGGTGATCTCAAAATACTATAAGAATAATTATTATAAAAGATCTTGAAATTTACAAATTAAAATATTATAACAAAAGTTAATTCATAAGGTGGATTCGAGATAATAAGACTTGGTTGTTGATATTATTTTTTTATAAGGTTTTTATTCATATTTATGTATATAAGATTTCAGTTTATATTTAAAAAAGAATATTGCTATATAGTAAAAATAATTTGAATAACAAAGACAACAATGTATATTTTTCATTGTTTTAGAAAATAAGTTTAAATTTAATTTCTTTTTTAATAGAATAGAGATAGTTATGAATTTTACTTTTTTTTTTTAAATTTCATATTTTCTTATTAATAAACATTTTTCTTTTAAAAAAAAAACATGTACTATTTTACAATCATGATAAGGCACCATCAACACTTGCAGTAGAGTCGGTGTCAAAACATCTCCCCCGACGGAAGGCACCTCCAAGATCATGTGGAAGAGTGAGTGCCCACGCATACCTCTAAATTCTGGTCCACCTCTTTAGATCTTTCTGGCATCCTTCAAGTGAATTTGCACATAATTTAAGTGAATTTGCCAAAATAGGTGTATACTTTGACCAAAAAGCTGCAATAAATATTAAAATCAATTTTAAGTGATCATAGATATTCAAAATACTGGATATAACCACATGTTAACACCCAAAATACTATTCATACGATATTCAACTTGATTTAACCACTTTTATTATGTTACAACTTGATAAAACTAAGTTAGTGTTACAATATATTACTTTTTTGGAAATTTTCCAATAAATATTCATAATTAAATAAATTACACTTTAAAATTCCAATATTACCCCATAACAAATATGTTGACAAGATATAGAAATCAACAAACAAGATATAATGTCATATACAAGAAGCCATTGAGTAGCTTCGTGAATTCGAACCCAACACACATAGATACATACATACATAACAATACATTTATAGATACATGTTTTCACACTAAAGGGTTTTTATGACATTACAAACATTATTGCAATTTCACACTACTTCAAACCAAGTAATTTGTCAAATTCTTTCTTCATCTCAGACTCATCACAGGCCTCAGAGTTATAGCAGGAGCTGGCAGAGATGGTCGTACCACGGGAACACGTTTCACAACTGAAAAGGCTTCATTGAGCCGTGCTACACGACCCATGAGCTGAGCTACCTTCTGCAAAAATTGTTATAAGTGTACCTCAGAAACTTAACAATGTTATAAAGATTCTCGATGAACGCAGCATATTAAAATGACACTATAAAACCTGCAGGTCTAATAATCATCAAGCCATAAAATCAAAGTCAAAACATACAGATAATATCATAAGTGTGTTCTATGGGTGGTTGTGGATATTTTTAGAGGAGAACAGCATCTGTAGCACTTATGAATTATATGATACTGTAGGTATGTTTTGTTCATAAATGATAAATCAACTCACAAACAAAAGTCAGTTTACGGACTATTATGATCAAACAATGTATTTATTCATGAAAGAAAAATGCATTCAAGTAGTGAATAGAGGAAATCCCAAACATTATTTAGCCATCAGTTTCTGTACATATTATCTCGAGTCAAATGTCAACCTAAATCAGAGTACTTTAAGAAATGAAAAACTATATTATAATTATATACTGATGGCTCTACAGAGATCTACTTCATAGAGGCATAAAGAGCATAATCTCTGGGTATTTCAACATTCATGCCTGGCGGGTGTAAGCTTGCTGTATTCGGAGGAAACTGTGTGGCTTACCCTCAGTTCTGTTATTCAACTGTAGGTTGATGGGTGTATCGCAATATGAAACCATCACTAGATCTCAAATTAACTATGGTGAAAATTAGATGTGCCAATTTAGGGCATTCTAATTTGTTGTAAAGACTCCACTGGTTATGGCCTTACTTTACCTGCCAGCCCCTCCGCAGACTCACCTCGCTTTACATGTCTTTTGTGCTACCTATTGAGCATCAAACCCGGACAGTGTTATTGATTATCCGAATGGTAAATATTGGCCGATATTGCAGGTTTTTTCATGCCATAATCCACTATGATGACGCCGCAAAACGGACGGCGTGGCGGGATTTTGGGTCTCCGTCATGGACTGCCGTCTGCCATCGAGAATAGCGGATATCCATGGCAGTTTTTGGCTCACCGCAAAGGCAAATATAGGCTGATACTACGGGTTTTCCAACATAATCTGCAATGACGGTGCCACAAAGAGGACGGCATGGCGGGATTTGGATCTCCGCCATCTATCATCGATTACACTGAACCCTGAAGAAAGATGCTCTATTTCAGGGTCTTGCATATTCATCAGATGAACTAATTCTGAATCAGTCTCTTACTGAATTACAGGTTCATGTTGCAGTTCCAATCAACTACTATGACAGTCAAAGTATTGTCTCCTTGTGTCAAAATCCTGTTCTTCATTCCCAAACAAAACACATGAAACGAGACATCATCACTATCATGAGAAGTTGCTGAACAAATCCCTGATTGTGACTCGTATACCAGCATATGAACAGATATCATATATACCGAGCCTCTCAAATTAGGCAACACTTCCTTCACAGTTCATTCTCTGTTTCAGTGACTAAAGTAGTTTTGTTATGAAACTATAAAAGATGTGTTTTATCATTTATGCAATGCTATCATGTATTCGTATATTACTAACCACGACATAATCACATAAGGGTTAATTCTTTGTATTATGTCTTTACTAATATATAAGGGTTACTTTCTATTCTTTTTTAATCAAATCATAAGCATGAATCACATCAAACCATATTCAAATTCAAAATTATATCCTTGCTCTTACCTTTTTATCTATACCTTAACCCTGAAGTAACCATAATTAAGGAAACGGCTTTATCAAGCAATCATCCAATAAGCTTCTAGGAAGCTTACCAAAATAAGCTAAAAATAGCTTATATATCTTACATAAATAAACTCTTCCAAATATCCATTAATATGGAAAATACAGAATAGATTCTGGATGTGTAGAATTGGTTCTGACATGTTTGGTTGTTCTCGAGTAGAATTGATTCTACTTGAAGTTAGGATGTGTAGTTTTTGAGTCTAAACATGGACTTTTCCACTGAAATTTACTATTCAACATACTTCTGCAAAAACTTATCAAAACATAAATCATTTTATCAATTCACTTAACAAACATACGCCTCATGTAACATAACATTTCAAATTGAAGGTGTATTCATTTTCGACCCGGGTTAGTGGACTCGTGTGGTATTCAATCACTTTCATTTTCTCATATTATCATTAGTCTCTATGTATCGGTGTATCAGTGTCACTACTGTGTCTGGTGTTGGTCTAGTTATATATCATAAGTAACTAAAAATCAAAAGTAAATAAGAACAAAAAGATGGACCTTATCATCAAGAGCAAGGTTAAGCTTCAAAGTCTGAGTCTTCCTCTTCATTTTATAAAGCCTCCTCCCCAATATCAAAAGCCCCAAAAACGCAGCAGCAGCAGCAACAGATAACGGAACAGGAATCAAAAGAGGACTCATCCAATGCTTCAACACCTCAAAAGGAACCTTCCACCACACGAATCTCTCATTCTCCCCTTTCACCACTTTCTCTTCCACTTTTTCCTCAGAATCAAAACCAATATCACCGGTCAAACTGGCTGTATCTGCAACAACCCTATCAGAATTATCGGAAATATCAGAAATATCATCGGAAATAACGGAATTATCGGAATCATTCCACCGATAATTATTGTCGGAAGATGATGCCGGAACAATTGGATTAGGGAAAAGCTGATTTGCGACGTAGGAATCATCGAAGTTTCGATCGATTTCGGAACTGGAAACCGAACTAACCGAATTAGGGTTTTGATGAACCGGATTGATCGAGAAATGATCGGATCTGATAACGGATGAAGAATTGGGATCGAATTCAACGATTGGTGATTCATCGTTGTTGATGAGTTCCCATTCGGTGACTTCGAGTTCTTCTTCTTCGCTTTTTCCATCCATTGATGAAACGTGAATTAAGCAAAGCGAAGAAAAAGAATTGGATATTATTACTAGAACTACTGGAACCTAATAAGAAGAAGTAATAACCGTAGAAGAAAGGTTAAGTATATCTTCTTCAAGTGTCACTAGAGATGCCCTTAACATAGGGACACTTGCTATCCGTTTAATGTTGCTTGGGAATAGTTATCCCTTTCTTATACACACTTCATTCACTCTTATTCTTTTTTTTTTTATATATATAAATAAGGAATATTAACGGAGAAGTAAGAGTTGTGTGCATTAAAGGTCTTCCCCAGCTAGTGTGTTAACTTGTAAGTATAATAAAAATAAAATATAATATTTAAAACGAGATAGTGGGGTCAGTCAAACGCGCAAAATTTCAAATGGGTCAGTCCCATGTTGACACGCCATCATCTTTTTCACTGATTCCGTCATTTTAGAAAGAAGACTTTTACCTACAGACGCTTACTGTAGATACAAACTTGTTCATCTCCAAAATTACACACGAGCATGATAAATGAAAAGTACCGGTACCAATCAACTCGTCTCATCCTCACGAGCATCATGGCACCTGAATCAAGTCCTAATTTTGCATGTACTGAAAACTCCTAAACAAGAACGTAAAACCCTAACAATGGCATATTGTGATTCCTGCACTGCAAATGCAATTAAGTGGTACCAATAACTTGCAAACACAATGATGAACAAGAATACGTAATTAAAACATGCTTATGATGAGTAAATTAGTGAAATCAGAATCAAGTTTTTAGGCAAACCGTGGTGCCTGTAGGGTGCGATTCTGGGCGTTTCAAGACCTGTGAGTGATTGAAATAGCTTCCTGGAATGTCTAGCAAGCGATTGGAACCTTCAGCACACCTTGAATTGGCCTGGGGAAGAAGATTTGTTTCACACTTTTCTTGGTAATTTTCAAGTTTTGTTCTGGTTCTTGGAGGCAGGTTATGCACGAAAATTCTTGTGTTTAGGGTTCCACAAACTTCAGTATATGTATTGAATCCAATTAGGTTAACAAACTTGGATCGAATCTTGAGAATTCATGAATGAAATATTTGATTTTTAAGCCATATGATATCTTTCTATTTTCATGCCTTTCGTGTACCAATTATGCATGATTCGATTTGATCATGTAAGCTCAGCATATCTTGGTTGCCAATCTGTAAAAAAAAAACAAATCAAATCATATCTTTGATAATTTTCATCATTTATTTGATTTAATTCATTTTTTAATTAATAAAAAATCAAAATAAATTGAAAAATGAACCACAATATGAGTGAGTGAACAGTTGGGTCGTGGACCACATTATAATTAAGGTGCAAGCATAAAAAGTTGGGCCCATTTAGCAAAAAATGCAAATTTGAGCATGTTTTACCCCAAAATTTGCCCTCCCATATTCTTCAAGAAATTGCCAAGCCATGTCACAAAATTCCCCAAAGGTTGCACAGTGCAAGGGCCTCCTAAACAGTCAAAATTAGGGTTTTGAGTCTGATCAAGAAAAGGAAGTGTTCAAAGGCTCAATCAAGTCTCATATGCTTACAAACATGGTCAAGCATCCTCATATCAAGTTTCAAGGCATTCAGCTCAAAATTGCACAGTCAAAACCCTAAATTGCACTACAGTCAACTGTAGGGGCAAAATGGTCATTTGACAGTCAAAAGTTCAACTTTTTGGTCAACATATCATTTTGAAGCCACAAACATCATTTGATCAATGCTTGATCATGATTCTCAAAATTTGGCTCAGAAATCATCAAAGATGCAAAAGTTGCTATATTTGGACAGCTGAAAAAGTCAACTGAAATTGACCAGAGCATAACTTTCACATGGATCATCAGAAAAATCCCATCCAAAGCTCATTTTGAAGAGAAAGACATTTCCTACAACTCATCTTCATACTTCAAGTCCAAGAAATGCTCTCACAAAAAGTTATCAATTTCAACATTATAGGTCATTTTCAAAAGTCAACAAAAAGGGACTTTAAGTCAAAGGCCATAACTTGAGATTGGAAAATCAAAATGACATGGGACCAAAGGCATTGGTTAAAGGACTCAAAGACCTTTCCAAAATGTCCAAGAACATGAGAAAAGCTTAAAAATTGAGCAAGTTATGCCTTGTAGAAGTTGGGAAATTTTTGTGAAAAGGCAAAAGTCAACTATCCTTGAAACTTCAATTTTTGACAAAAGGGCCCACTTTTTTCCACTTGATTCAGCCTTGTCATGCCACACACGTGTCCCATGATTAATTTCAAGACCAAATATTGATTTTTCTATTTTATTTAATTTTTGATAATTTAATTCATTTTAAATCTTTAAAAATTCAAATAAAATTCAAAAGTCAATGAAATAGTGTCATTTGAATTGGGATAGCTTCCATATATCATGTGCCAGCTCACAAACTCATGCTAGGGTTAGATTATACACCAAGTCTTGGTTTTGCCTAAAAAAAAGGGAAAGTTTGTTAAGGGTGAAAAAACCTAAACCTAATTCTCTTATAACCCTCAAAAGTCCCAGCTGAAGCGGGGGTTAGTTCGAAAGCATACTGTTACGAAAGGTATCCTGACTCCTGAAGGCCTACGGTAAATACAGAGTTGACATCATATTTTACAAACATTCACATGTTCTATGAAAAAATGCATTTTCAAAATCTTCAAGACAGACATAAGCTTTGCATTTTTAACATAACTTTGTTTGCATATGACTTTTTGTTTGAACAGCATAGAAGTTCGCACGACGAAAGCCTAATGAACAGAAGCACTTCCAATCAAGGGGCATGGCATGACTATTGTCCATCGTCTGGGGCAGTTAAGTCAAGATCCAGAGAATCTCTCAAAGGCCAACTAGCCTGGGGCAAATCTCTGCCTGAGTCACTTGGGGCAATCCAGCAACGAATCTTGCACGATCAGACACCTTCTGACAATATGGCGACACCAACAGCCAGGGGCAACTCCCTATATTCTAAGAGAACGGACATAGTCGAAGAGAATACTACGCAAAATCAAAGACCCGCTAGGTTGACATACCTAGGCAAAAATAAGGGCTTCCCGGCAAACCAAAAGGGTTCGGGCAAAAACAAGGGATGAATATGAAAAAACTGTACACCCGGCAAGTCGAAAACCTGAAAAGGCGGCTTGGGCAAAAATGGGTATCCCGGTGGACTGAAAACCCGAAGGGGCGGTCCAGGCAAAAGTTAGGGATCAAAGCGTACGACTATGTCCTGTCATCTTGTCATCTGTCTACCAGAAGAAGGTTTGTCCATCAACAATTATCAGCACCCCACAAGTGCCTCCCCCATAGAAACAGGGGCAGTAAAGAGTGGTCTAAGCAATCTGATTGTTCTATCCTCCAAGGTATCAGGGTAGGTTCCGTGGAAGAACATAACCAATACAGTTCAAAACTTCCCCAGAGAATCCAATCCAGTTTCCCCAGGAAAATTGGAATTCATATCCCCAAGCAGTAAGCTTATCCCTAGTAGATTCTGGAAGCTTATCCCCTCACAGAGTACGAACGTGTCGTCCGGCTTGATTTAAAGAGTTATTTCCTTAACAGGATATAACTGGGTTATCCTCAGCCAAAAGCCACGGAAAGAGCGTCTTCGACAAAGTCTTCTTACCCCAACGAAGTCTATCAACACTTCCAATACAACAACAAGGGTATCCTCAGCAAGTCATCAACAATTCAGCAAGGCATCCCTCTTCCCACAGAGTATTGCTTCCCAGCATGGTCGCTAGAGTATTTTTCTCCCCGCAGAATCTACCATTCGCCAAGTTCATTCCGCAACAGAGTCATCTTCTCCTACCGGTATTCTTGCAACTATCATCCCCAGCGGAAGCAAAATCTATTCTTCAACATCAGCCCAGGATACGACTTCCCGGCACCCGTCAAGGATTTACTTTCCTAGACGAAAAACACATTCATAAAACGTCACATACATCATTATAGCATGCATAGACGCATCATATCACCCCAATCTCACTTATCACATCTCGCATGACATACATTATGACCTTGCATACAACTAACTCGTTACTTTTCAGGAAAGAACGATCAATAGATAAAAGTCTTTACCCGTTGAGGTAGTAATCGTCCCAGATTCCTTCATCACCCGTTGAGGTAGTAATCGTCCCAGATTCCTTCATCATCCCGTTGAGGTAGTAATCGTCCCAGATTCCTTCATCACATATTTGGAGTAGCAATCGTCTCAGATTCCTTCATCATCCCGTTGAGGTAGTAATCGTCCCAGATTCCTTCATCATCCTGCTGAGGTAGTAATCGTCCCAGATTCCTTCATCATCCTGCTGAGGTAGTAATCGTCCCAGATTCCTTCATCATTCTGTTGAGGTAGCAATCGTCTCAGATTCCTTCATCATCCTGCTGAGGTAGTAATCGTTCCAGATTCCTTCATCATCCCGTTGAGGTAGTAATCGTCCCAGATTCCTTCATCACATATTTGGAGTAGCAATCGTCTCAAGATTCCTTCATCATCCTGCTGAGGTAGTAATCGTCCCAGATTCCTTCATCATCCTGCTGAGGTAGTAATCGTTCCAGATTCCTTCATCATCCCGTTGAGGTAGTAATCGTCCCAGATTCCTTCATCACATATTTGGAGTAGCAATCGTCTCAGATTCCTTCATCATCCTGCTGAGGTAGTAATCGTCCCAGATTCCTTCATCATCCCGCTGAGGTAGTAATCGTCCCAGATTCCTTCATCATCCTGCTGGGGTAGTAATCGTCCCAGATTCCTTCATCATCCTGCTGAGGTAGTAATCGTCCCAGATTCCTTCATCATTCTTCTGAGGTAGTAATCGTCCCAGATTCCTTCATCATTCTGCTGAGGTAGTAATCGTCCCAGATTCCTTCATCGTCCTGCTGAGGTAGTAATCGTCCCAGATTCCTTCATCGTCCTGCTGAGGTAGTAATCGTCCCAGATTCCTTCATCATATATTCGGAGTAGCAATCGTCTCAGATTCCTTCATCACATCCTTATCA